GCGTTTCTCCCCCCCCCCTGAGCTTACTCATAGTGTCACCTACCATCGACTCTGTTTTGCATGTTCGCCCTAGGGTCATGAGCGCCGAGATCAGCAAGCATATACAGTTGGCACTGAATAACTATACCTCGGTAAGAACTCCTAATTTTAGTGTCTTAATATCTTCTCACCGACACCGCTGCATTCAAATCTCGTTGCGGAAGTTTTTCTCAACCGCAGAACCATGCAGAGTTTATCAGCAATCTGCACACGCTTGACGTGTTGAATTCTATTGCAGAACCCGCGAAGCCTTGTCCTCGTCCAGATCGCCGCGCATGCCGCCGCGCAACTCGCCGCGTGCCAGCCTGGACGAGCCAAAAGTCCCGCACCCCTAACGCACGACGAATGTCGCGCAAGTTCGTCGCTCCTCGCTCGCGACTTGAGGTGACCAAATTGTGCGGCAATGAGCGACCGAACACTTCGATTCCATCGAGTGGAGAATGGCGAGGGTAATATCGTAACCTCGGTGAGAAGGTCTCAGGACATCTGTCAACCGTGAGCCTTGGCGGTTCAGCGTTTTGTAGTGATGTCTGGGAGCTCTCACAAGTGCACACTATCACAGCATCTCCTCTTTCTTTATCTTCTTCAAAAGGCTTAGTCCCAATAAGACACAAAGTGTGTGCTTTTCCAGCTACGCTCTCACCCTTTGGTTGACAGAAGCCTTGTAACCCGGTCAGAAAAATCACCTCACGAGTTCCGTTTCCTTGCTTGGGCACACCGTGGAGAGAAAGCTCACCGGCGGAGCGGACGCGAGCGCGTGCTGTGACGTCACAGGTGCGGCAGGAGCGATGATGGGATGAGTCAGCGCCGCTGACATTTCGCTCGAATAGTAAAGAGGTTGCTAGCAATTCACGAACCTATCAATCAGCAGTGCGGGAAGCGAAATGATTGTATTACGTATGTTCCAATTGCAGTGCTCCGTAATGGAATGAGGAGAAAAGTCAAAACTCTGATGTGTCAAGTCTCAGGAGTGCATAATCAAGCAGAATTTCATTCCCTTGAGCTTGATCCTTGATTTCGATTCCCCTTTACACCACTACTAACTACACAGTGAAGTTAGAGTACAATCAAAGTTAACAGTATCCAATGTATTGAAGAGTTGGCGGCAACGCCGCTCTTGCTCGTTCCTCGCCGCCGCTCTGACGTCAAAATGACGTCACCAACACGCGAATGCGTCCGCGCCGCCGGTGAGCTTTTTTATGCAGACAGGCACATCTGTGACTTATGTGAATCTTGCAACCGAGCTCCGAGAGGAATGGGCATTGCATGTTGCATGTTCATAGATAGTTACATAAGGACTGAATTGACAGGCATTCGCAACAAAATCCTCTCAGGACCAATCTCGCTGCACTGAATCACTATATTCCTAATATGGAATGGAAACTTGTCGACTTCAAGTACAGAAGTAATCTGAAGTAAGACCTAATGATAACCCGTCAATCAATCATTTAGATTTGCCGAAAGAAAATTTAGATACTACGACTGCTGCCCCAATCCGTATCCGGATATCTCGTATTTTTTCGCCATCAAGCGCAACCCGTCGTATTACCTTTTTACGCTGATCATTCCTTCTGCTTTCATCACAATCGTTACCGTAATCGGTTTCTTCACACCACATTCGTCAACTGGTGAGAATACTGAAAAGGTGAGCGAATCTCAAGTCACTACAAACATAAAATCCAGTGCCTAACCAATGAAAGCGATTCTGAACAGTGAGAAGGTATTCCGACCTCTTCACAGACTTCACGAGTTCCCGAATTTATCAGTTGGTATCTATGCTTGGGAATGAAAGGAAAATTTTTTACTTGTTTTAGTTGTTAACCGCTGTTTACACGCTGCAGTTCGCGTTGCAAACGTCTCATAGTAATGCTGTATTATGGACAAAACTCTTCGCACCAAATTGGATTGAACCCGTCCCTACCTTCCCTGGCAGTTGTGCTATGCAGGATCAAGTACGACTGCCCGAGAAGTGTGGGCACCTAATTTTCTCTATAAACTCATCTGTTTTATTTAATTGCCCCGAGTCTTCCATGTCGAATAGAGAATTACAAATTCTGAAATTTTTAGGTCAGTCTAGGAGTGACTGCTCTATTGTCTCTGGCTATAATACGTGAGTCAATGCTATGATCTTGGTCGTTGGATGTTGAGCAATGCTATGATCTTGGTCGTTGGATGTTAAACAATCTATTAATTTATTTTCAGTGATGATGGTTTCCGATAAACTACCAGCCACTT